GGACCTATTCAAATTGGTTTCCTAAACATGGATCGTTTAAATTGAACCGTCTTCTCGTCTACTTATAAGTATATCCAAGAAAGGGAGCTGGTCGTTCTTCTCCTCTTCGCATTATACATTGATGTGATTTTCGATGGTGTTAAGTTTATTCAATAAACAACTCATATCGTTCTCTCTTTCACAGATAATTAAGATGTCATCCACAAATCTCTGATAAAGAAACGTGTTTTCAACCAGGTCTTCAGTTAGATTTTCAACATGTATCATCAACACATGTGCTAATAATGGTTCAAACGAACTAACCATAACAACCTTATCGATCTGGCAAAAGTGTTCACCTTCAAATGTGAACTGTACTTTGCCAGTGCATAATGGTGGTAAAGCGTTAAGGATTTTCGATGGGATAGGTAATTTAGGTTTGTTCAAATATATGTAATCACATGACATATCGATAGTCATTATCAAAGGTACATTTGTGAACAAGGAATTCACATCAAATGAACATATAGTCTTTCCTTTGATATTAATATCATCTGAATGACCAACTGATTCAAATGGATCCTTTAGAGATTACTTAGATAAAGATCTTGAGATAGGATCCAGAATGTCAGAAATGTAGTGAGCTGTTGTGCCACGTAGTTCTGATGATCTTCGTCGACTTATTGCACTATTCTAGTCTTTTTATTCATGCCGTTACTGACGTATATGCCCAACCAGTTTCTCAAGTGTATCGTTGAGGACGCTTGGTACATGTGTGAACGCTAGTATGTATGTGTCTGAATAACTTGTAACCCTTTTATACGTATAAATATTTCATCACTGATTGCCTACGGAGTAGACATATCAGCTTTCTCAGCTTCTTGCTTGTCTGTCTGGGTAAGTGCTTATCTGCAATAAATTTATCCAGTGCGGTTCCCTTCCTCTCGCTTGTCAACAAACCAACTGGTAACAAAGATTTCATCTCTCTGCCCAAGGCCGTTAGACTCAGTTCGAACCCGCGCACTTCTAGCCTCAATGTTAAACAAGTGAGCCTATCGTGTCAAGGTATGAACTTAAATCAAAAAGAATTATCTTCTATATGTCGTTGGGAAGACAGAGTAACGATATAACAATCCGACGGATGTCATCTTAGATATTATCTAAATGACCGAAAATAATTTTAATACGATCATTGTTAATGATAGGACCACTCTTAAAACAATACCACGTAAAAAGAAACCTGTTTAAAGTAGCTCTTACCTTATATACTACTTTAAACCATTTAATATTTCCTCTGGAAGTTGAAGGGTTTCGACATCATGTGGGGAAGGACAAGTTCCTTAGAAACTTATTGCACTAACGCTACTTCTAACAGTCAGAAGAGCAATGAAAATTACTTAATTATTTACGCCTAGTATCCTTCATAGAGGAGCATGGGCCGCCCACCAGCATTCTCCATCCCAATCTCTAGTGATTTTCCAGTTGCTATTCATCCTTCTGATGTCTGCTTCCAATTTTCCACGCAGTGTGTTCCTCTTGAATAAAATGTGGAGCACGTTTGCGGATACTTCTATTTCTGACTGTAACGCTTCAGCTGGTATGTTTCCTGGTCCTTCTGCTTTCCCACACTTGACTTGTCTGATGGCCATCTTGATTTATTCGATTGTTGGTGTGGTGACATCTAAAGGAATGTGTGTGTGCTGCTTCGATGTTCAGTGGGTTCAGTGTGGCTGGTCTATTCAAGAGTTCTTCACAATGCTATACCCACTTGTTCGACCGTTCTTTAATCTCAGTGATTGGCTTGCTTTATCTGTCTTTGACTGGTCGCTGTCGTTTACTATATTTCCCTGCTAGTTTTTTTGTTGAGTCATATAGTTGTCTTATATTTTCTTCTCTTATAGATTTTCCGCAGCAACTGCTAGGTCTTCTAATGATCCTGTTCATCCACCTGTTCGCGTCTGACTATTTGATCTGTCCCTTGGCTTTATATGGTAATTAGAATTATTCGAGCCGACGTACTAACTAAAAATTCCCGAAACAGTGTAATTTAGGGCTTGCAGAAGAAGACGAGCACAAATAAACGGATTATATTTGGAATTGGTGATAAACCCTCAATCAAGTACGAAAAAATCATCAGTTAATACAAGTACCACACCTTCTCTGTTCTGGTTCGGCTGTTGTTATTTGCTGTCTTCTTGTTCTTCTTTTCCTAAATCTTCTCCAGTGTTTCAATGGAGATCCATTCTTAATGATGATAATTCTAGCGGCCCAAAACCGCTTGTCATGTTGAAGTTAGTTTTTCTTTGATATCTTTCCAGTTGTCCTTCATAGGAACTCTTTTCTCATTAAGGAGATCTTCTAAGGCTGAGAACTTGTTGTTGAGGGCCATCTTGAATTCGTTGAGTTTGTCAGGATCTCGGAAAGATGCTGTATTGAACCTCTGTTGGTGGGTGCATAACACTTTATAACATTCATTGTGTTCCCTTCCTTACATGCTTCTAGTGATGCTTTGATGATTGTGGATCCATGAGACTCTTATCCTATGAGTGCTTTAAGTGCTTCTTTGGACAGTATTAAATCAACTATCTGAGTGTATGGAGCATGTTCTTCTTCATGACTAGAGTAGGACAGCATCTCTTTTGAGTTCAATCTTTTCTGTCTAGGTTTAGTCCAATGGATTTCACTTATTCCGAGAACCAACAATTTGCATTTTCTCATTTCTGAAGCCAATTTATTTGTCGTCTGCTTTAAATACCTATGAAATGGAATTTAACTTCTGCTTCGTGCTTCATAATAGAATCTATGTAATCGTATATTTTGTTAAAGAGAACCACCAACTTGTATCTCCTCATTTCCTTAGATATTTGATTTGTTCTCCCCGTCTCTTATATTTTTCTGACATTCCGTGTACCCATATTAATTGTTGCTCTGGTTGTTAGAATGGCCATCGACCTCGTGACTTCCGAAGAATCTCATACTTCTTTCTTCAACTGCCAGGACAGAGTTTAAATAATTTAAAATGTTTTTCTGGTAAGCGTCATTTTAACAAGGTTATTTTGTACGAAATGTGGTTTCCGATCCCATGCCCAACCCTATTTTATTTACACGGGTTTGGTCCCGCAGTAACTATAGATGGGTTACAAGTGGAGTTAGCAGCTTATGTAGGTTCATTGAATTCCTGCACAATGTGGTAGACTAGAATAACTACTCAAATATCAATGGAAATGAGATGATACAATCTGTCTCTGTTCGAAATAGGTGAAATACACAAAATATAATCCTGAAAGAAAGTACTTACTCCAGAAAAGTAGTCATTGTATTCTGAACATGAAGTGAAGAATACCTACACTGGATGAAGTGCAATCCCTGTATTCATTTCAATGCATTAACTTTGTTGATTACGATAAAGCATTTGACAGTGTGGATAGGAAGAATTTGTGGGATCGTCTCCGACACTAAAAGCATTGTTAGCACCAACCAAATTACACTTGGTGGAGAAGCTCTATATGAGATGTAAGTTTTCACATATCTGGAGTGCAACATTGATTTATATATGAAGACACGAATTTTCAATGCAAGTACTGCATTTCTGTAATTGAGGAACATCTGTAACCCAGATCATTCGCCACCCAAGATTAATCGGAAATCTTAACACAAACGTTAACACAGTTTGATTGTATGGAGCTGAAACTTTAAGAACAACATCAATCATCGTCAAAAAGAACAGCTATTCATAAACAGCTGTCTACATAAGATGCTCCAGATCCATTGGTCATAGGCTATCAACAATAATCTACTGTAGTCGTGAACAAATCAAGTTACAGTTAAGGAGGAAATTCGGAAAGCTGTTACTGGTGAACGGGACACACATTGTGGAAACCATGAAACTGAACCATAGGCCAAACTCTAACTTGGAATCCTCAATAGGAAAAGAAAATAGATAGACTAAAGGACAAATGGAGCTTTGAATCAGAGGCAGACATCAATATCAATAATAGTAGTTGGTAACAACTAGAAAGTAGTGTCCTGAACATATTTGATTGGAGATCCGTCATCAGTTGGCTTTGATCATGTAAGTAAATAGGTCACTTATTTGTTACCCGATCATAACTAAACAGAAAAATTCCAATAGAGTAAGTACTGCAATCATAGAAGGATCACAACTGTAGGTAAATGAAGAAGAAGAGGAATTTACATACTTTCAATATTTTCACAAGATGATATCAATTAGAGAATGGCATTTATACTGGTTATATACATGTCATATATAACAGTCATAGACTTGAGACAATCCTTAAAAATCATTCCAAATGTGTAATACTTTCAGAATACATAATTGAATATCTTCGGAAAAGAAATTGACACGAGAGAAAAAGAAAGAGCTAATTATTATTGGATGTTGAGAGGAAATATTTACTTTGAAAAAGTGGCTCACATTAAGTCACAATACGTCAGAAATACAACTTTTCTACTCATTGAGATTTAACTATAAACTTATTGATTATTAATCTACATTTCAAACTTCAGTCGTTTTGTTACAGTCATCGCTACAGTCATTTAATGCCAACTATTTTAAGATTGAGACAACAAAGCATTATCGTTCTTGAGGAGCTAAGTTATTCACCATGGTTCATTCGAGTCAATATCTGGAACTCTGTGCATGATCTAGTTGAGTGACGTGTCTTAATGGTACGTCTACGTAAGGCATCAGTAGATTAAGGGTCATAAAATGTTAAGTTATATGGTAAATGATCAGAGATCCTACTATGCTTCCCGATTTCTTCGAGTCATACATTTACAAATCCTTTGTAAATTTCTTTAAATAAATTAACTAAAATAAATTTACTGTTTGTTTCACAGCACCAACACTACGGTTTCTACAGTAATTACTTTAGGTGCAAAAACCTACAAGCACACCTCTGAATCCAACCAATAATAATCATGCACTCAACAGCTAGCGTTATGGTAACCGTATTTATTGTTATGACAACAAAATACTCATTCACAGTATATAAACAGTTGAGAAGTTGATCACCTTTAATTTAAAGTCGCTCCCAGTCTTGATAGCTTTGTCTGAAATTAGCTTAATCAAAAATGGTAAGTTGGTTTATTACCGTCTTCTGCCTTGTTAACCTATGTAAACTAAAAATGTGTTTTACAACAAACATGTTTTTTAACCTCACACTACATTAGCGTGAATGTATTTCAATACACGTTGGTCAAGCTGGTGTACAAATTGGTAATGCTTGTTGGGAGTTATATTGTCTTGAGCATGGTATTCAACCTGATGGTCAGATGCCTTCGGATAAAACAATCGGAGGCGGTGATGACTCGTTCAATACCTTCTTTAGTGAAACAGGAGCTGGTAAACACGTTCCACGTGCAGTTTTTGTGGATTTGGAACCAACAGTTGTAGGTAAGTAATTGTATGATATTTTGATACATTATGACTTAAAAATAAAAGCCACTCTTTATAGGTCAGAACTAACATAAACCGTTCAATATGACCTCCTATACCGTTGATTATCTTGACATTTTGTGGACACACAATGTACAATTACATGGTTTATTTTTTAATTTTATTTCCGTGCAGCTTTTCCTTTATAATTCACTCCACATCCATCTACCTTCTTTAGGCAATAAAATAATACGGAAGTTGACCATTTCGAACCTTATTTAAACTTGTTTTATGATTAGTTGTTTCAGCTTACTGTACCTAACCTAGAAAGTAAAAGATTTAATGCTCCTTAATATGATCAATTTAAGTTTGAATACGACATGCTTTTATCCTAGTTATGGTATTTTCGTTATTCTGGTTGTTAGATTTAAATCCATGTCAACTCTTGTTAATCAATTAACTAATCAGATGTACCACAGCCAATGTACTGCTTTTAGAGTATACTTAAATTGTAGTAGAATGATTCTATTTTCCATCTACATTAATCCAGTTACAGGTGAAGTTATGAGTTTTGTTCTCTAAGCTGGATGGTTTGATCGTGGAGCTTTCATCGTTCTTCTGAACGACATCATCAGCACAAACTTCAGGTAGAATCATGTATTAAGTATGTCTAGGCCAGCACTATTTCTTTTCACCAAAATGTATAAAAAGAAACGAATTATCTCAGGGCTGTTACAGTGTTCGAACCTAATTTTAAAACAATAAGAGTGACCACTGGATCTCAACTTTATTAAAATCGTAATCACTGAGCAAATTACTGACAACGAGTTTGGGCATTGTGAAAGGGATAAAAAAAATGTTCATGAGCGCTGGAGTGGATGTAGAAATTAAATTTACACCACTGTTGTTTTAAAGTTGTTCTAAAAATACAAATTCTCCCATAGCCTATAGTTGATAATAATAATAATAATAATAATAATAATAATAATAATAATAATAATAATAATTGAAAATTGGAATTGCTTCTATATTTTTTAGATGAAGTTCGTACGGGTACATATAGACAACTATTTCATCCGGAACAACTGATAACAGGGAAGGAAGACGCAGCTAACAATTACGCTAGAGGCCATTATACAATTGGCAAAGAAATTGTTGATCTGGTACTCGATCGTATTCGTAAATTAGCGGATCAATGTACTGGCCTACAAGGTTTCTTACTTTTTCATTCATTCGGTGGTGGTACTGGCTCCGGTTTTACATCTTTACTTATGGAACGTTTAAGTGTAGATTATGGGAAAAAATCTAAGCTAGAGTTTGCAATCTATCCAGCTCCTCAGATTTCCACTGCTGTTGTAGAGCCTTATAACTCAATCTTGACTACTCACACCACATTGGAACATTCTGATTGTGCTTTTATGGTGGATAATGAAGCTATTTACGATATATGCAGGTAGATTTATAGATTAGTTATTTGGTTACTTTGTTTGGAGACCACCATTTTAGTAAAATATTAAATTTTTCTTATTACCGCTACATTTTAGACGTAATTTGGACATCGAACGACCAACTTATACCAATCTGAACCGTCTAATTGGACAAATCGTCAGTTCAATAACAGCATCACTTCGATTTGATGGTGCACTGAACGTTGACTTGACAGAATTTCAAACTAATCTGGTGCCGTATCCTCGTATTCATTTTCCTTTAGCTACCTATGCACCAGTTATTTCTGCTGAGAAGGCATATCATGAACAGTTAAGCGTGGCAGAGATTACTAATGCTTGTTTTGAACCCGCTAACCAAATGGTGAAATGTGATCCACGTCATGGAAAGTATATGGCTTGCTGTATGTTATATCGTGGAGATGTTGTGCCTAAAGATGTCAATGCTGCCATAGCTACAATAAAGACTAAGAGAACAATTCAATTTGTAGACTGGTGTCCAACTGGATTCAAAGTTGGTATTAACTATCAACCACCAACTGTTGTACCAGGTGGTGACTTAGCCAAAGTTCAAAGAGCTGTCTGTATGTTAAGCAACACCACAGCTATTGCAGAAGCTTGGGCACGTCTAGATCATAAATTTGATTTGATGTATGCTAAAAGAGCATTTGTACATTGGTATGTCGGTGAAGGTATGGAAGAAGGTGAATTTTCGGAAGCTCGTGAAGATTTAGCAGCTTTAGAAAAAGATTATGAAGAAGTTGGTGTTGACAGTGTCGATGCTGAAGGTGAAAATGAAGAAGGTGAAGAATATTAGTTCTTTTTTTGAAAATGAATTCTCTGAAGTCATAAATTAAAAAAATATCTAAATAAATAAACAGTAGGTCATATTACACTACTTGTACTTTGCTCCTCAAAATGTGATTGTGTATAAAAATAAAAATAAAGAACTCTTTAGTTACTGACCGATTGTACTACAAAATGATTATTTAAATCAGCCGTTTTAAAATTAACTAATGGTTAGGCTAGTAAAGAATAATTTTGATAGTGTAAAGATATCTAATCCAGAAGAGAATGTAGTCGTTCGTCTTAGCTTGCTTGCCAAACAGATACAATTTCGAATTCGCACAGATTCTAATCTATACGTTTATAGTGAGTACGATATCTCTAGTTTATAGAAATAAAATCCTATAATAAACATTTACGATCTCGAGTAATTCAGAATAAATGTTTATTACTGCTAAACAAAGGATATTAACTTATCGTATACTATAAGACAGTTAAAGAGAATACAGATCAATCAGATTCAAATAAGTTCTATACTTCTTCCGATCTACTAATCAGATAGAAATTAAAATGTCACTAGTTACAGTTATTCAGTAGATAGTTTCATTCGCTTAAATCAACTATGGAATAACACTGATGTAATATCTTGTATAAAAATGCAACATTCGTTTAATTAAAATACTAGTTTTGTTAAGTCTATCGAAGCGTTCAAGTTACCCGGTTGAGATACACGCAAAACCGAAGTTTCCAAAACAACGATTTGTCTACAATAGCGGTTCTTTATTAAATAATACACAAAATTTAGTTACAAACTTCAACTTGTGAGGTGTCTGGACCGTTTAGACGCGTCCTTAAAGTATGAAAATAAAAAGGCTTCGATAGTACAAAGGACAGTTAATAGCTGTGTCTAAATTTGATAACAGTTTACGAACAATCGAAACCCAAACCAAGAGCAAACAATATGGAAACTGTTGCGTTTAAACAAATGCACAAAACTGTGGATAAAGGCTACAGCGATTAAGATACAGTAATTATAATGATAAATACAATGATAAGTACAATAAACGTTATAAATATATGTGAACATTTCAGAATATTACAGTACGACTAGCGTTACAACATAAGTGTGAAAATTGTTGGAAATACAACTGCTTACTGAATGTAAATAAGTAGTATAAGAAAATATACAAAAGAGTAGAAAGGGAACGAGTAGGAACAATGTAAGACAAACTTAACAAGTTCAAAAAATAAATTTATCTAGTTTTAATTAGTTAAATCTACTGTTGAATTATTATGAGTAAGATAAATTGAGGAAATACATTTAATTTAATTGAGACGATTCATATTCAAGTTTTTATTCAATCTTATCACTTCTATGTTATTCTCTTTGAAAAACTACTTTATAGATGTTAATAACTTCTAGATATAAATAAACGGAAATGTTGAACTTCAATTATTATGTTAAGATTGAATCAAGTTATCTTCCTTTACTTATAATGTAATTGTCTAACTCTATTAGTAAAAAGGCTGATTTTACAATTGAATTACAATATCATTGATTATAATGTAAAATATAAAACTTAAAACTTTTTGGTTCGACAACAAGAGATACACTAGCGGAAATTACGCTAATTCTTATCATACCAGTTTGATAGGATTTTAGCTGATTATAAGTCAGTTAAAGCTAGACCACCATGGAAAACCTGAAAGTACTAGATGGCCGTTTCATTCTATTGTGTGACCACTTAGCACTGCGGATCTACGATCCCACCTCACCAGATTCGAACCCAGGACCTATCAGTCTCACACGCTATGTCATAACATTTTTACAAACAGAATGAGAATTCCCCCCTTCCAAAAAAATTATCAATAAGAATCTATTGCCAAAATTGTTTTATGCATTATTTATTCATTGAAAAGCAAACCAAAATAAGAGAATGAGAACTACACTGATATAAATAGAATCATAAGCGCTGTATAGAATCAATTATCTTATTTAGAAACTGGATTTATAATAAACAATTCCACTCTAACATAATGAATCAACCATAAATAAACAAAATTGTTGTTTTAATCAAATCATATAATAGTTACAAGTGTACAGTACAAATGGGTGAAATGAATGAACATAGAAGAACTAGATAGTTAACTAATTACTATTATTATTATTATTATTATTATTATTATTATTATTATTATTATTGAAAATCAATTAATTGTTACCTGGAAGGAGCTGGAAAGGATTGCCCAGGACAGGGTTGGATGGCGAATGCTGGTGAGCGGCCTATGTTCCTTCACGAGGAGTAACAGGCGTAAGTAAGTAAGTAAGTAAGTGTTCTAATGTAATCGATACGACATCAATTCGAACGTTTATCAGATAATTGAAGTGTTAATATGTAAATATTGAAGTACCAATAAGTGTATCAATCCAATATAGAGTGAAAAAAATCAATTTCTAGAGGAAAATTATAATAAAATGAAGATGCTTATCTCAGAAAATCATAAAACGTTTTATAAAAAACAATTATTTAATTGACTGCATAGGAGATTGGATAATTTTCACAGTTGAATATCGAATTGATCCTAGACAAACCAATATTAAAGACTTAAAAGCACTGGATAGTTGTTTAGTCCTAATATGGGATTCTTTAGTTGTGACCATACATAATCCACATCCGGGTATTTAAAGCTGGACGCTAGTTGTTGTAAGATATTGTCTAACCTATTGACCAATGGTTAACTCCCGTATGCTGAAAATAATCTTTTTTTAACTAGTGACTACCTTTAGATTTGACTCTGCCTGGAGCCCCTCTGGAGCTACTGCCGATCCCAAACCCAGATAAAGAACGGGGGTTGGACATGGGGTTAGCGACCCCATCCCATAGAAAACTAACTCGCTAAAAAAACGATAACCGAAAAAATTATTCAAACTAATTAAACTCTACCCTGGGAATCACAAGGTCTTCATTTAGAAGAGTTATGACACCCCGTGGTGAAAGCTGAGTTCTTACGGAAGTCACAAGGCCGATGCCCCTTCTTACAGCCAGAGCAACCATTTATTTAGGTACATGGAATGCTCGTACAATGTGGGAGACCAGAATAGTCTTCCAAATTGCTGCAGAAATGAGGAGATACAACCTGGAAGTGCTTAGGATCAGTGAAATACATTCGACGCAAGTTGGAAAACAACGACTAGCTTCAGGGGAGCTTCTGTTATACTCTGGCCATGAAGAAGAAAATGTCCCACATACACGAGGAGTTGCATTGATGCTGTCCAAACGAGCACAAAATGCACTTATAGGATGGGAATCTCATGGACCAAGGATCATCAAAGCCCCCTTCAAAACAAAGAAAGAGGGCATTTCAATGAACATCACTCAATGCTATGTGCCTACCAACAACTACAATTGAAACGTTAAAGACCGATTGCGATGGCTTCCACAATGTGTAAAAGGCGCACTCGTAAACCATGTGGCAAATTCGATGGGATATTGTAGATAACCTTAAAAGCTTTATTCAATTCAACTTGATGACCTGATTAAAACTTCTATTCTCTCTCACTTGGTTAACACAGGTCATCAATTCGAATTGAATAAAGCTTTTAAGGTTATCTACAATATCCCATCAAATTTGCCACATGGTATACGAATGCGCCTTTTGCACATTGCGGAAGCCATCGCAATCCATGTTCAGAAACTTGATCTTTGCATTCAAAAGAGATTTGTACAACCACTTCCTCTACCCTGGCCAACAGTATAAGATTTCCTTCAAAAGAACTATTTTTCATACTTCTTCCACTTGTTGTTTTTCTTTAACTTTTGTAATTTTGTTTCTGTTGCTTTTGAACTTTATAACTTTTCAACATTCATCTCTTGATTCTTACGTAACTACTATTCTATTGACCATCCATTAAAAAAATTCTGTTCCTTCTCTCTTTTTAATATATTACTCAAGGCAGCAACTTCTTGATTTAGTAATTACTTTGAATATTATTAATCGTCTTTCTTCCAATTACTCAATGGTAATCTAAATGTCACTATGTAATTATTACGTAACGTATCCACTCGATGAGTATTATATCATTATTGTAAATCATACTTATGTATATTAGTGTAGAGCCATGATGAAAAACTAATTGAAAAGCAACTTCTTCGCTCAATTCGTCCCTTCTTTATTTACAAAATTTTATTACGGCTTTTCTTCGGGATACTGACAAACTTAACAAATTCAAGATAGTCCTCATCAATAGATTCCAGGCCTTTCATGATCTACTCAATGGAGAGGGAACTACTATGGAGAGCAACTGGAAAGGGATCAAAGAAGCAATCACTTCAACATGTCATGAGGTTCTGGGCCACAAGAAGCACCATCACAAGGAATGGATCACTGTTGATACACTGAATGAGATTCAAGAAAGGAGGAACGAGAAGGCAGCAATCAATACTAGCCGAACAAGAGCAGAGAAAGCCAAGGCGCAAGGTGAGTACACAGAAGTAAACAGGCAGGTGAATAGGAGCATCAGAGCCGATAATTATATCTCATACAATCATTTCATAGATAGAAGATCAGCCATTTGTGTGAATAGGAGTGACAGAAATAATAAAGTCACTAAAATAATGTGTAAATCGATGTTTATGTAAATTACTGATCATCTATTAGATTAAAGATGGTAGAAACTCAAAGACAAACACATAAAAAATATCAGTATCAGTATTATTTTAATATTTAAATTCACAAGTCGATATAAGATAGACCACCATATTGAAGACCTGGAAGTCACTGATAAAAGTGCATAGAAAAGTTTAAAAGAAAACAACAACATCTGATTGTATTAGAATATGTTTTATAAACAGAATTTCCAACAATGATTTCCAACGCCCCCAAATGCCCTGGTATGGCCGAGAGTGGGGTAGGCCCGCCCTTCCTCTCAAAATGCCCTCACACGGCCACGCGTATACAGCCTCTGCCAGGGAAGTCCTACTCACTGCCCTCTCGTGGCGGGGGTATTATTTACGAAAATAAGAGGATGAAAAGCGAATGTCCGGAGCTTTAACCGGATCTCAAACCAATGGTGCACATGGGCTCCAGTATCCTGCGAGAACGAATGGCATATGAACCAATCGTTGGTCACCGGCTACCATGGGACTACATCTCCTTACGATGCTCCACTGTCTTGTGGATCAGACCTTCAGGTAGAAGGCTCGAGGAGTGGTCCCCCAAGAAAACCACCTGTTTCGGTCTGGGCACCCGGGTTGTATCACTGCCCACACACACACAAATATGGTGTGGCACATATATATTTGGTGTCCACTTGTACCAATATTTATTTGTTGAAATAAATAAATAACTAATAAATTTCCAACAAAAAGTAGGCTGAATAGGGGTATGATAAAAATTGCTGTTACCAATTTTTTAATGACGTCTTAAAAATGGTCTTAATATTACTGACAACAACAATTGACACCGTCAGTTTTATTATCACCTAGCTAATTTGACTTTTTTGATGATAATATAAAGATGTCTTCTAAAATTATTTATAGATAACTAACCTTTAGTTATGTTATTTCCCTGTTTTTATCAATTCGTTTGACATCTTTCACGCATTTAATTATCCCTGTTGTTGTTGTCGTTGTTGTTCAACAGTGATCTTCCTTCATAGATATTTTAAGAGTATTGTGTTTATTGTTTGCACCATATTTGGCTAAAATTCCAAGAACCGGTTGATTATATAACATAGAAGTAGTTTGATCTAGATTAAATTTCGAATGTGGTGGTACGGATAGGAATCTGGGTGTGGAATTTCTTAAATTTATTTTTTGATGAATTTCACTGTCATTTTTATTGTTTGTTAATGTTGTATTCATTGAATTCTCATGTTGATGTATATTATAATCGTTGAATTTCGATAAATTATTCATCTTACTGTAGTACATAAGTTAGATCAAAAAAATGTGAAAAGAGTAAAAGGAAAGATTGCATGAAATTTAAGCAAATCGTTTTTGATAATCATGAAAAAGAATTAATTATGTTCAATGAGCACTGCTAAGGAGTCCCACAATAGGATGAAATGGCTGTCCAGTGCTTCCAGGTTATCAATGGTGATCTAACATCAATCAGTTCACGATCTCAATCAAAAACGCAATAATCTCCACAACCCTATACTGATAATTACCATGTGCTCACTGGTGACTAGCTTCGTGAGGGAATTCTCGGAATCCTAATAAGAAGCCATGACCAGTGGAGCTAGTCCGCGTGGGGTAGAGACAGGTATCTACCTCAGTACAATGGAAAATAGTCGCAAAATCTTGTGAATTAGATGAGGGTAGACAATAACACTATTGGATGCCGGCCGGTTCAGTGGTCTAGAGGTTAACCATTTACGTGCGAGACTAAAGGCCCTGGGTTCGAATCAAGCGAGCTGGATCAAGGATGCGCGCTGCCGAGGAGTCACACAATAGAACGCTATGGCCATCCAGTGCTTCCAGATTTTCTATGGTGTTCTAGCATTAATTGAGTCATGAATTCAACTACAAAACTACCAAAATCTCCACAAAACCCCTTCTGATAATAATTACAGTTCATTATATATTCTGTCGTATTGAAATTGTTGTTGGAATGTGACTAGCAAAAGACAGTTTCAGGTCACCGAAAATGGCTTAATTCCAATAAAGTATTTGTAGTGAAAATGTAATGATATATAAAAAATTTGTCTCCATTTGTTTTGATTTTAGTTCAAAATAAAACAATTGTACATGAAGTCAACATTGTAGGTTATATTTTTTTCACCTCATTGCAATGGATTCGAAATACTTGAATAGTAATAAGGGCCCAGACATTTTAGCAAAGATTGGTTACACGTTTAAAAATAAGAAATAAATTAAAAACTCGAATATTTAGAGATGTACAGAGAAGGGTAGGTTGCAGTGTTATGCGGTGTATGAATAGTCAATGGATTACAATTACGTTTCGGATAAAGCTAAGGGAGATGAGAAATACTCAATCTATATGTTTAAATATCGAGCAGCTTGATTAACAGATGCAGCTACATTGAGAACCGGTTTATCATACCCAGATCAAATTCCAGTTGTTAGTCAAATTAAACATCATTCTCGGCGCATACAACATGACAATCACACACCCTTGCTAAATCCAATTTCCTTGAAATCAGTTATCAAACTCTTGATATGTTGGGAATCCAACAAACACAAGCACTGTGCGAAGAAAGTCCCCGTCCGAGCAGACGTTGTCCTCCAACATAAAGAACAACGAAATACAATCTCCTCACGATTGTCTGCACACTTTACAGCATTCATTTGATAACCGCAATCTCAGGTACAGGAACTTCTTAGTAGCCGCTCAATAATCACCTCTTCTCTAAATTCCGCTGTAAACCGATCGTATGTGAGCATCAGGCGTTAAACTTGGCTCCGTGACCCTGAAGTTGCCCAAACTCTTCTGATTAGCTCGTCCATAAATTAGAGTATCACCTTAATCCTAGTCCAAATAACTAAATTGTAACAGTTCTAACAACAACACTATTTGTTATCGAGTAGAATTCTATAAGAAGTGTCATTTCTTACAAGATTCCAGACATATCTTACGGATTAATATCTAAATCTATGGATTTGCCCCAATCAACTCTAACAATATACATTGTTGTGATTGCAATGGATGAGAGTGGAGCAGTCCAAAATTACATGCTGCAATAAGAAAAATTGTTTCAAAATAAAATAGCCTACCGTTTCAACAAATTTAACATTAATTAGTTACATTTGGATGTGATTATTGCTATGGCTTTATATCAGTGATATAGCAAATTTATTAAGCTTATAAACAATGACCACTGGATTTTGAGTCAGTAGTTGAAATAGTTTAACTGTTATTATGAGAATTGTAAATTCCTTTTTTTATTCTGGAAAACATCATCAAGAATTATAATGAGAGCCAATATAACTGTACAGAACAACAATAAAAGGATTACATTTGAATTATATTGCCCCTTGGAATACAACACTATTAGCAGAATTCTAATGTGTTGCATATCTTCATTTCATTGTTATTCATATAGTTACATCTTAATTTCTATCAGTTAATCACCACTTAGTCAATAATTAAAATAACGTAAATTTGTTTACAATTGAACTGAAATGACCAAACTGATGGTCCTCCTAAAAGTACAGCTGTAATCTCCAAAATGAAAAAAATTTCAACAAACGCCTAATTACATCTGATAATGAAGATCACACAAAAAAATAGCCAATAATATTATTAACATCTGTTTCTTATGACAAAAAATCTCCAAAAAACCCCTTCTGATAATAATCATCTGCTCACTAGTGACTGAGTTCAAGAGTTACTCTTGGAGTTTTAGTGAGAAGCCGTTACCAGTGGAGTACAACCAGGTCTGTTGTGAGATATCAACTCACTGATGACAATGGTGTACAGTGGCGCAATTTAGGGGATTAGTTGAAGTTAGACATTAACACAGTTGGATGCCGGCTCAGTGGTCTGATGGTTAAGTACTCGCGCGCGAGACTGATAGGTCATGGGTTTGAATCCAGCAGGTAGCTGGATATTGGATGCGCACTGCTGAGGAGTCCCATACTAAGATGGAACGACCGTCCAGTGCTTCCAGATTTTCCATGGTGATCTAGCTTCAATTGACTCATGATTTCAATCAGTGAAATTTCTAATAATCTTCACAAAACCCTTTCTCAAAAAATTGAATTATTATTTAACTTACTTTGCATTATCTTCTATAATCCTATCATTACCATTATCAAATGAATGAAAATTTAAATCTGTACAATTTTTATTATTAAAAGAATTTTCTTTTTCTTGATTATTAAAAGATTCACATTTTTGTTTAGAATTTTTTAAAAGTGATAATTCATGAGATTTGTACAGATTCATTGAATTCGATCTGGAATGTTGAAGTCGTTGTTGTTGTTGTTGTTGTTGTTGTTGTTGTTCCTGTTGTTGATCCAATTGATGACGATGATGTTGTTGTTGTTCCTGTTGTTGATCCAATTGATGACGATGATGTTGTTGTTGTTCCTGTTGTTGATCCAATTGATGACGATGATGTTGTTGTTGTTCCTGTTGTTGATCCAATTGATGACGATGATGTTGTTGTTCCTGTTGTTGATCCAATTGATGACGATGATGTTGTTGTTGTTGTTGTTGTTGTTGAGATGCTGGTGATAATAACTGTTCTATATCATTTAAAATATGTCTTATACTTGATTTGATATAATCCGGTTTATTATAAGTATTCTTATCATTGAAATGATTCATATCAATTGTTTCACTGAATGCTCTTGTTCTTCTAGATAATTGATTTAATACATTTTCATTAGATAAATTAAATGTCACTTTAGATAATCGATTTTTATTAGTAAATAATGATGAAGAATAACAATTATGTAATGAATGGTTACTATTTATTGTAGTTGATTTATTTAATTGTTCTATACCGGCAAGTATACGATATTTTTCAACTTGATTTTCTAATGCTTCAATTCTATCAGTTAATTGACATACTTTCATAACACCTTGATTTTTTACCTAAAGATATAATTGATACAATAAATAAGATATGATGATTATATTAAAGATCAGTAATGTTTTTTTTTCTTAAAAACTGAATATAATTCATAAGCAAAGATGGGTAGTGACTAACAGTGGAATCCAGTTTGATGCGCGTTTCGTCCTGTTTAGAACTCGTCAGCTGGGTGTACCTGCATCTCAGAGAGTTGATGTTCATTCTGGGACTCGAATTCAGTACCGTTCGTTTCAAACTCCATCGTGTTATCCACTTAGATACTGAGACCTGATAGCCACTTGCTTGTGCAATGGGGTGAAGTTTAATGTGTACTTGGTCTATGTATGTTTGTATACTTTCTTGACTGACCGATTTTTTATCCACTTACGTAACACCTATTTTACACGTAATTTTTATTTACATATAATAACAATCTATTCCAAGCAGCCATGTTTCGCCTTTATCAATTTGCATTCTGTATATATCATCTATTTGAACTGATTATTATTATTTTCATTTATTTCAACACATATATATTGGTACAAAGAGGCACCGAATACATATGCGCCACACAAACCTCACTCGATATGTGTGAGGGCTGTGATACTGCCCGGGTGCCCAAACCTAAGCAGGTGGTTTTCTTAGGGGACCACCCCCGAGCCTTCTACCTAAAGGTCTGATCCACAAGGCAGTGGAGGATCGTAAGGAGATGGAGTCCCATGGAAGCCAGTAACCAACAATCGGTTCGAGAAGGCAGTGAGTAGGACTTCCCTGGCAGAGGCTATATACGCGTAGCCGTGTGGGAGGATTTCGAGAAGGAGAGCGGACTCTCACCACTCTCGGCCGTGCCAGGGCATTTGGAGCAGAATTTATTAAATATTTGCATTCAAAAATCTGGTATTATTCCTTTGTTGAATCCCATGAATACGTCTTTAAAGGCATATAAAGTTAAGCAAGATAATTATTCTGTTAACATCATTATCATTCGATCGTAATGGAGTCAACGATGGGCATTAATATAATTCAAAATAAAAGATCATTTCAAGCTATTTGGCCTGTAGTTTTATAGGATTGCGGTCGGATAATATCAGTCCGTATTAATATTCGAATACAGATAATATCAACTAGAATACTATAACTGGTTTTACTAAATTACTGAGTAATAGTAACTGCCACTTTTACGGTTCTTTAAATTTTGATACTTTTAGTTCTGTTATGATTTCTCGCATGAAACCTTCAATTCTGTATACACATCAACTTCACATTTATAATACGAGATTTGAAAATTCAATAAGTTAAACACTGTAATAGACTTATTCAACAAATTTAATTAACACTAGACAGGATATCTAATGTTAGTCTATTAAATGTCATGAATTAGATTAAACAAAGTAGTAATATTTGGGATGTAGATTCTACCACTACAGATTATATTGTTACTAAGTAAACACTGAAATTGGAGGAGTATTAGAAAATCATTTTATTCTATATTGAGAATCTTAATGAGTATATACTTATAACCAAGTTAGGCATTCAACTACAAGACATTAGCTACTCAGTGAGAAATAAAACATTTCTTAACCTTATGACCACATATGACTAATAAGAAGTCATAACTTCAAGATTCAGTGATAAACGATTATGGTAGCATAATACTGAGAAACGAGTGAAGTGAAAAATGTCGATCACTGGATATTGACTTATAAATCTAAAGACAGAGATATCACTACCGGATATAAAGGTTTCAGGTTGTATCATTTGTGACTGTCATGAGTGTGTACTAGCAGGAAAGAAACATCTACTCAATGCTATCTGGTTTCTATTAATTGTTCGGTTAATATCAGTTTATAATCTGAAACATGGCTACTTGGAATAGATTGTTATTATATGTAAATAAAAATTACGTGTAAAATATGTGCTACGTAAATGGATAGAAAATCGGTCAGTCAAGAAAGTATACAAACATACATAGACCAAGCACACATCTAATTACCAATAGTGAATAAGAGTATATTTCTGAAAATAGACGCAGAGTAAGTTAGTAAGTAAACAAGAATAACTACTCGTCCACCTGATATAGTCAAAAAAACGTTAGAATTAAACACTCAAATATCAGAAGATAGTTTCTAATCACTGATTGACATCAGCTAGAAAACTGTCAGGAAATAGAAAGAACGAAATAAATTTATATTATCCAATATCCAAATTTTTTGTTGTTATACACTCACAGTGCAACTAGCTATTGAATTTAATATCGTCAAATTTTATTATGATCACATTACATTCAAACAATTAAGTCGAAATAAGTTGATAAAGTACGCAGGAAGAAATAAAGAAAGAATAGAAGTTAGATGGTGGTTGGAGGTAGTCGACAGGAAACCCTGGACACAGGTTTCGTACAATTTGGCACTCGTCAGCAAGGTGTACCTGTAATCTTGAGGGAACTGGTGCTCCTTGACGGACTCAATCCAGTGTCACCCAGCTTTACAGTCAGAGACGTTACCACTGAGCTATCCGAGCCGCGACCGACCTCCTGTAGGACTGAGATGTAGTCACAATTGATTGATCACTGGATGGCGATCAATGTCATGCATGTTTAGTCCTTATTAGTGCAGATCGAATGCTATCGATCATGTTGAAAGAATAGAAGTCTTTATAATAGATATACATTCTAGCCTTATGGATACATTCGTTGCCATTCAGTGATCTGAGTATTTAGTAGAATGAATTAATTAATTTCAGTTTCTTGAATAGCAACATCATATAGTAAAGTTTGACATTAACCCATTTACAACAGAATAAGGACATTTCAGAGAAGAAACTTTACTCTTCAATGATTTCATCTTCTTAAGCTGTACATTCATATTTAAGGGTAGTTTTTACACGTAGTAATCTATAAGAAAATAGAGGAGTTTTGAAAAACAGTGATCGAATATAGTCAAACTTATTCAATTACATGTCAATGGAACTGAAGTGTTGTTGCATAATATAATGTCAAGACTACCAAAAATTACTAAATTTCTCTCATAGTCCATTTGAATTTTACAAATCCGAAGTACTAATTGTTACCTTCTCCTTTTTTGAAAGTGAAAAATTTCTTACCTCATTTTGCTTCCGAAACTATTACAAAATGTAAGCTCTTGATGATTTTATCGGCTTCATTAAATAACTCAACCCAAATTTTTTATTCAGCACTTGAAAACATAAATTCTACTGACATAAAACCATTCCATTTATAGATTGACATTAATTACATAGCAGTTAAGATTCCCCAATCTCTGTCGATGATTAAAAATGTATGAAATGGGTAATTAGTAAACTTGTTTTAGAAAGTCTGTGCTCGTATGATGATGAACAAACATTTTGTTAAAATCCACTTGGTGTTGTTTGCTTGTATCTTCCCATTGTTGTTAAGGCCTACAATTGGTCAGTCTCTTGTTGACGTATGTGCACCATGTTCGTAAACGTGCATCCTGAATTCCACTGTTAGCCACCATCTATCTTCACTGATAAACATTTTGTCACCTGTCATAATTTGTTAATTGGTTGTAAACTATGGATATTAGTAATCTGATTAGTTCAAATCCAAGTAGCATTAACTGGTTTGATTGAATGTGAGAATTTACAAGTTTACATTTGAATTTCATTTTGAGTGAATAATTCTGTCTGACTGTTCCATCCGAGTTTTGATAAAAGTTTCGACTTGTGAAAAAAGTAGACACCAATTCAATTTGACCGCCCTTCCATACTCCAGTCTGTGAATATATATCGGGATCGACTGTTTTTGTGGATATTACAGTCATTTCAATGGTTGAGGTCATAAGTAAATTGGAGCTAGACCACCATGGAAAACCTGTGAGCACTGGAAAGCCATTTCGTCCTATTGTGGGGCTCTTCAACAGTGCGCACCCACGACCCCGCCTCATGAGATCCGAACCCAGGACCTATCAGTCTCACTCACGAACGCTTAAACTTTAGACCACTGAGCCGGCCGACATTAAACGGTTTTAATGTCTAACTTCAACCAAATAATATTTATGACTGCGATTTCGTCAACAGTGATTCATAATAGAAAAGAGTTGCTGGATTTCCCCGTGAAAACGGTTTCGTTAATAAATGCAAGATTGTAATTGCGTTATATTGCAAATTCATTATAAGTGAAAATTGTTTTCAACTGTACATTGTCCATTCTATGTTGTTGAGTAGTATATAATTCTGACGAAAAAAGATACTTTTCTGTGTATGTAGTAATTTAGATCAGTTATTGTGTTTGGGAATTGCGTGGTAGGTTTATTTTACGTAATGTCAATAGCAAATGTTTTGTAAGTATGCAGTCTGATCAAATCATTGTCTGAATTTTTTTTGATGTTATTTGTAAATGACATCACATACATTATTTATTTAGAAATTCTGAAATCATTTTTCAAATCATGGGTTTTCTTTGTTGAACATACTAGACGTTAGTTAGATAGTTAAGACTTCTCGTCTGTTGGATCAACGACATTGTAACATCCATGGAATTGGAGGCTTCTATCTGAAACTCAGTTGCTGGAGATAACATCAATGGTGTTGGAGGCATCGTTCCATAAACCATTTGATGAGCGGAGTTATAGAAAACACTGCATTGTCCTTCAGACATAAGTCCTACTAAGGAATACGATGCTTTTTTGATGCTTGGCTGTCCTACTTAGACAGGGATGTAATTGCCAATAACTACGCTGGTGAGGTAGCTGTCCGACAGTAATTTCCTGCCACTAATTACTTCAGTGTTCACTTTTGAATCAGTGCATGTACAGTAGGCCAACACATGACGGTACGGCAATCCGGTTTCAATAGAAAAACTACACGAACAATTAATGGGATTTCGGGATACCGTGTAAGTGCCAGTAACGTCAACAGTCGTGGACACGTCTACTGACGTTATGACTTCTGTCACAGGAATGCACAGGTGACGCTTCAATAAATGACAGGCAGCAGGTGTAATTTTTTCTTGAAGACGACTTGTTTGCCACTCCCGACCGATATTTGTTCTGTTGCGACAATCAGTTGTGTATTTCTAAACTCGCACTTCCATCCAATGTCCATTCCGAAGAAGCACACTGAATATAGAACTGAGCACAGAGGTTTTCCTATTGGGCTTGTGAAGCTTCAAGATTTGATGAGTTGTCCCAACGAAGTTCGTATTGTTTTGTTGAAGCAGTGTCTCAGCCGGACTAAAAGCGTTTGACAACTTGTGTTTCTTCAGCAACAAATAATCTCATATATCGGTAGAACGTTCAGTCTGATGCTTCAATAAACGAAAGATAGCTTATAAAGTACAAAAAACTGTAAGGCATAAAGATGTTTATTATCCTTTCTATGTGTCGAGTGAACATCAGACAGAAGAACAGTTGTATAATTTCAGATCGCTTCTTTTACAATCAATGAACAACTTACCCTCTTTATGACATTGCAAATGAGGTGTAAGCGACACAAAATATGGTGAAAGTTTGGATACACTATATGCTGTAGCAGCAGCTGTTGCAGGTGATTCATCTGTGACAACACCAGTCAACTCACGTTTGTTAGTTGAGCGCCTGAAGAATGACAGGAATTGCGACAGCGAAGCCGACGTTTCACGAATTATAAAGGCAATTTGAACAGCTAAGGCCATAAATTCACATCGAATGCAACTACTCGATATGAATATAAATTTTCGTTTTTTTGCTTTTGTAGGTCCCGTCAAAACCAATATAAACAAGAAAACGCGTTTTCAAACTCACCCAATTGGCATTTGCGAAGAAGAAATGCAGAAGACAGTTTTCTTCACAAAACTCATCAAGCAACATGATGTGAGCTTTCAATTTTGCGTAGTCACCTAACGTTCACAATATAAATAGGCACATTGCTCACTAGGAAGTTTGGCCTGTGAGAGCACTTTGTGGAGCATGATAAAAACACCTCGGACATTCAGGCGTTCTCCATAAGATTGGTAAGAGAAATGCACAATATTGAATTCTGCTGTCCCCGAAATTAGAAGTGATCGCATCGTTTCAAATTCAGCGTCCGTTAACCTGCGCATCCAACAATTATTGTTGTAGCCCGTAGAGTTGCACTCATGATTGTGATGCACATTCCCACGAACACTAGTCCAGTAAATTTCAGTAAACTTACAAAAAATCAAGGCCGAACATTCATTGTTGATTGCGGTCCTTCGTGAACGAGATAATAACACTAAGTAAATTACCTCCTTCGTCTAATCGGCTGTGACGCTCCGCTAATTGTTCTACGGCCATTTCTACAACATACAAATTTAATATACAGCTTCTGATCCCCATGGAAGTGAGAACCTTGCACGTCATAATGACAGTACGTCACTGTTTCATAAATTCTGATGGCGTTCTTTAACGCTTCAAGTGATTGAAACGCTACCAGATACAATGTATTCAAGAACATGTTATCTGTGTCAGTGACAACCTGAGAAACGACAGAGCTTGTACTTTGTACTTTATTATCGTCCATAATTTGAAGAAAAGCTGCTCTGTCGACGAGTACTTACATTGTATATCAAGTTTAAGAAATAAATAACCAATTATTCAGAATTTAAAACTAGTCATTTAATTGAACGAAACGGAATGGAAGAAAAAATGAATTCAATTATCAAAATTACTAAAATTCCCCCCCTCCATTCCGACCATAATCTTCACTGTATTATGCAACAACACTTCATTTCCATTATTGACATGTACTTGAATAAGTTTGACCATATTCGATCTTTGTTTTTCAAAACTCCCCTATTTTCTTATAGATTACTACGTGTAAAAACTACCTTTAAATATGAATGTACAAGTTGAGAAAATGAAATCATTGAAGAGTAAAGTTTCTTCTCTGAAATGTTCAAACTCTTTTCGTTTTTGATGAATAAATGGGTTTCTTTCCTGTTATAATAAGTTAAGAGTTCAAACAAATATTATTCGAAGTTATCCAGTTCAATTAAATCTGTAATAGAGAGTTTAATTATAAAAAAATGTTTTACAGTTTAACAAAATAAGTATCTCAAATGACTGAATAGAATTTCTCAACAATTACATCATAATTAAATTGTTGAGAAGAGTCAGTTAAAGCTAGACAACCATGGAAAACCTGTAAGCACTGGACGGCTGTTTCATACTATTGTGGGATATCTCAGCAGTGCACACCCACGATCCCGTCTCGCAAGATTCAAACCCAGAACCTATCAGTCTCGCACCTGGCGCTTAACCAACTAGAACACTGAGTCATCATCCAACGGTGTTAATGTCGAACTCCAACCGATCCACGAAATTGCGACACCGTAAACCATTGTCTTCAGTGAGTTACTGTCTCACACTAGAACTCCAGGATCTACATCTTGAAGCCAGCCACTAGTCAGCATATGTTGATTATTATCAGAAGGGGGTTTTGTGAAGATTTTAGTAATTTCAGTGGTTTAGATCATGAATCAATTGAAGCTAGACGACCATGGAAAACCTGGAAGCACTGGACGGCCGTTTCATCCTATTGTGGGACTCCTCAGCATAAACTATCAGTATTTCATTAGATAAAAGAAAAAAAACATTTCAATGATAAAGATGTTTACCTTGAATAATTGTAATTCATGTTCTCTTGTTACTCGATCTAATTCATATTGAAATTCTTTATGAAGATTTATTATATGATTATAAATAGTCATTTGAAATTGTTTATATTCATCAATTTGTTGTTGTTCTTGTACTGATTGTTGCTGATTATCATTTGCATTCATTGAACTATTGATAACAGTTGTATTTTCTTGTACATTATTACCACTCCATACATAATCCATATTAAGCTTCATGATATTAAGAAAATATAGTGAAAGGAAAGTACCACATATTTCTAATCATTATCAGTTAAATTTAAAAATAACAAAGATCAAGATTTATAAATTTATGTTTAAATCACGTTAGTTATTGACAAGGGTTTTTGTAGATATCATAGTCATTTCAATGGTTGAGATCATGAGTCTATTGAAGTTAGATCATCATGGAAAACCTGGAAGCACTGGACGAACGTTTCGTCCTATTGTGTGATTCCTCAGCACTGCGCATCCACGATCCCGTCTCGTGAGATTCAAAACCAGGACCTATCAGTCTCGCGCGCGAGCGCTTAATCTCTAAACCACTGAGTTGGCCGGCATCCAACGGTATTAATGCTGAACTTCAAACAATTCACGAAATTGAGCGACGCTGATAAGTTTTGGGTTTAAATCTCGAGAGACGGATCGTGGGTGTGCACTGCTGAGATGTCCCACAATACGATGAAACAGCCGTCCATTGCTTCCAGGTTTTCCATGACGGTCTGGCTTCAATGGACTCATGATCTAAACCATTTAGTCATACTTTACTCATTCTGTTAAAGTGCATGATAAAATACCATCTGTCATTGGCCGGAAAACAAGAAAACAGAGGATATATATGAAGTGAGCTAATGAAACACTTAGTGAAAATCGTTTATTCGATCAAAACAAACTCATTATGTATAGAGTTAATAGGAATCTATCAAACACTGCATACTTTTCTTTTGTTCGCATTGTTGAAATGCATTACTATCAACACCAATAATTTTGAATTATGTCCACAAAGAACAAATTCAATCTTTGCTGCTACCATAATTGATATTATCTGTGCTTAGAACCCACCTCTGCTTCACAGCCAGAAAAGCTTTAGTAAAGTATATGTATGCTGATATTCGCCACTCGTAATAAACTGTTATTCTCAAAACCACAATTCAATGGAGATGTGACTAGCGATATCCTAAATGAGAGATTAGAAAGACCAATTAAAAGGATATTCTACGCAGCCAACGTTTTGTTGACATTTTTTCTCTTGGCCAGATATGATTGAATAAACTATTTTATTATTTTGTTTGATATCCTGTATTTGTTTCCCACTTTCCGCCTCTTTCCGTCCATATTCTATTATTTACATACTTCTTTTGTTCGATAATTTGATAGTGTCTTATGATCATTATGCTCGCGCGCGTGACTGATAGGTCATGGGTTTAAATCTCGCGAGACGAGAACGTGGATGCGCACTGCTGAGGAGTCCCATACGAAGATGAAACGGCCGTCCAGTGCTTCCAGATTTTCCATGGTGATCTAGCTTCAACTGACTCATGATTTCAATCAGTGAAATTTCTAAAACTCTCCACAAAACTCATTCTGTTTTACATCTGTCAAGAAGACAATTATCTCCCACACATTTTATTTCGTCATATTATTATTATTATTATTTCCAAATTCTCAGTCATTAAGCAACTTTCTTTTACAAACGATATGAGGCCATCATCCTCTTCGCTTTCAAAATAGACTTTTTATTTGTGAATTAACTATAAATGTAAAAGTACAATAGACATTTCAAATTCTTTTTATCACACTAAAACTGATACTACGTCACGTCACCGACAATAAAATTTCCTGTAATGTCGTCACCTTTGAATAATTAACTTTAATAAAAGGTCAAGTGGAAACTATACAGTTCACTAAAATTAGATGGTGGTTGGAGGTAGTCGATAGGAAACCCTGGACACAGGTTTCGTACAATTTGGCACTCGTCAGCAAGGTGTACCTGTAATCTTGAGGGAACTGGTGCTCCTTGACGGACTCAATCCAGTGTCACCCAGCTTTACAGTCAGAGACGTTACCACTGAGCTATCCGAGCCGCGACCGACCTCCTGTAGGACTGAGATGTAGTCACAATTGATTGATCACTGGATGGCGATCAATGTCATGCATGTTTAGTCCTTATTAGTGCAGATCGAATGCTATCGACCATGTTGCCTGAACTGCTGACATCAGATTGGCAATCATTCAATATTAATCGTCACAATCAGTTAAAGAAATAAGAAAAAGAAATTTGTTGAAATATTTTGTGATTAGAACTCTATATTGTACCAAAAATATAATACTGAATAAAGTCATTAGTAATAATAATAATAATAACTCATTATCCTTTGAAAATCAAACTTTCAAATAGCCAAAACATGCCATTCACATGCTGATGATATGCATCGATTCGAATGGTTACACACCATTATAAAACAAAGACAAAGAAATTTAACAAAACAGAAAGTTAATATCAGAATGTGTTTTGTGGAGATTTTTAGAAATTTTCACAGATTGAACTCATGAGTCAGTTGAAGCTAGACCACCATTGAAAACCTGGAAGCACTGGACGGCCGTTTCGTCCTTCCACTTGACTCCTCAGCAGTGCGCATCCACGACACCGCACCACCCGGGGCTCGAACCCAGGACCTACTGGCTTCGCGCGCGAGCACTTAACCATTAGACCACTGAGCCGGCAACTACGTGGATTGGTTGAAGTTAGACATTAACATCGTTGGATGCCGGCTCAGTAGTCCGATGGTTAAGTGCTCGCGCGCGAAGCCAGTAGGTCCTGGGTTCGAGCCCCGGGTGGTGCGGTGTCGTGGATGCGCACTGCTGAGGAGTCAAGTGGAAGGACGAAACGGCCGTCCAGTGCTTCCAGGTTTTCAATGGTGGTCTAGCTTCAACTGACTCATGAGTTCAATCTGAGAAAGTTAATACGTAAAAATATTAGTTGTAAACAATCAATAGAGTTCAACAAATAAAACATTTGACTCAAAAAAAAAGAATGAATTAAATCTAAGCATGAACATTTCAAAGGTAACAAACAATGAATTACTCTGTACCAATTTAATTGATTTTGATCTAAACCATCTCAGCTATTCAATTACAGATTACAATCATTTTACTTATCTCAAATATAAACATTTTATGTATTGATATATAGTTTTTATGTAAGCGTCTTGATCGTTTACAACTTCTAATATATTTAAAAGATTGATTTAAATAGAGATTCAAATGAACTATAAATGTTCATGTTATAACTTGTGATTTTGTACCCTTGGTTCTTTGTTTTTCACTCTGTCACCAATTTTTATAAAGCTTGGTTTTTACTTCATCTAATGTTATAACGGTTGGGTTTCTACGTTTACACGAATAGGATGAATATCTACAATAGATTCCCTCCTATTGTCTATTTTACAGGACGTCAACACAACTCAGATCAAGAACACGTGATTAGCCTGACCACAACATAAATATATTTCCACACCAAAAACCTGACACAATCCAACAACAATGAACAATCAATAATAAGTGAGTAACGACAATAATAAGGATAGGGGAATATATATCTCATCTGACAACTATCAAACTATCTATGTATCTGACTAAGCAGACAACCAATCATTATCATTCTTGCCCACACATCAGTTCATTTATGCGTAGACAAGATCATTTCATTGAAGGTAAAAGGAAGAATGGGAATGTAATACAAATTTAAAATACATGTAATTACTTCAAATCACGCTTTTGTGTTCAATGCTTGAATTCTGCTTCGATTTGATTTATTTCACGAATTTTCACTTAGAACGTATTCTCTAACTTTTTGGTACACCTAATGATACCACGATATTATCCATAGACCAATATATAATGAGTTAATAATCAGTGACTAAATGCGATTGTAGATTGAGACAGGAACTAATAGTTTGCGAAATCAAAAGATCGATTCCAACACAATGACTAACTTTACCAACAAAATAACGGTGTAGTAGTGAATTAGATATTTCACTGATTCACTGCTACACCGTTATTTACGTCCATTGTATAATAATTTACAAAATTATTTTCTTATAACTGATAGTAAACTATTGGACCATGGTATAGTAATCAAGTGCTAGTTCTTAACCATAAAGTATCTGATACAATTAACCAGTTAATGAAAACAGCGCTTTAGCATGATGTTACATTTAACTTGTTCCTAGATAACTAGAATTAGATAACAAACAACGTTTCATGTATAAGAAGCACGTTGGTGGTTTTTGTGACAGTCAAACTCAACGACGTAAGATATTTTATTAAAAAGAGATAACTTTACTAGACGCTACGGATAGAAGTAAAACATGAACACAGGTAGCTACTAAAACAACCCGCCAATATCTGCCAATAAGAAAAATAATGTAATTTATGTAATGCGATGAAAACACAGATCATCAAATAGGATGAAGCTTACTTACGTCCGTTACCCCTCGTGGAGGAGCATACACAGCTCACAAGCGTTCTCCATTCAACTCAATCCTGGGCAATACTCTCCAGTGATTTTTCAGTTGCTATTCATTCTTTTGATATCTGCTTCCAATTTTCGACACAATGTGTTCGTTGGTCTTCCTCTTCTCTGTTTCCCTTTACGATTCCAAGTTAACGCTTGCATTGTGATTCAGTTTGGTGATTTCTTTATTGTATGTCTTATGGATTTCCCACGTCCTTTGCTAATTTTTTCTTCACTTGGAAGCTGGTTTATTCTCCCCAATAGTAGGTTGTTACTGGTGGTATCCTGTCAACGGGAATTGATTACTTTGCGTAGACAATTGTTTATAAATGCATGTATTACTTTAATGATGGCTGTGGTAGTTCTCCAAGTTCCAGCTCTGTACAGTAGAACTGTCTCAACGTTCGTGTTGGAGATTCTGACTTGATCCTGACTTGGTTGTCAGTTGTTTCGAGTTTCATGTGTTCTGAAACTGTAGAACTGCTTCCCTCGGTTTGCCAGTCTTCGCCTTTATGTCTGCATCCGATCCTCCTTGCTCATCAATGATGCTGTCCAGGAATAAGGATGTTTCCACCTCTTCCACAGCTTCTCCATCAAGTGTGTCTAGGTTTGTATTCTCAGTGTTGTATTTGAGGATCTTGGTTTCTCCCCTGTGTGCGTTGAGGCCTACTGATGCAGAAGCTTCTGCTACACCAGCTATCTTCACTCACACTTGTTCGTGTGTATGTGATAGAAGGGTCAGGTTATCTGAGAAGTTCAAATCGTCTAGCTGCATTCATACTGTCCATTGTATTCCCTGCTTCCCCTCAGATGTAAAAATTTTCATTATCCAATCAACCATCAGAAGAAGGAGAAAGGAAGAGAGTAAGCACACTTTTCTGAATCCACAATGTTGAACGCCCTCCCATAGTCAAGAAAGTTGGTGTAAAGTGACGAGTTCAACTCAAATGATTGCTCAACAACGATCCGTAGTGTCGTGATTTGGTTTGAGCACAACTCATTGTTACGAAATCCGGTCTGTTGATCTCGAATTTGCATGTCTACCGAAAATCTCATTTTGTTTAGCAACACTCTGTTGAAAACGTTTACGCGTACTGGTAGCAGTGTGGTGACTCTGCGATTCTCACATTTGCGGAGATCTCCATTTTTTTCCGGTATCTTGATAAACTGTCATTATTTTCATTCTGTCAGTGCTTCAACTTCTTCCCATATCCTCCTGAATAAAATGTGGAGCACGTTTGCGGATACTTCTATTTCTGACTGTAACGCTTCAGCTAGTATGTTCCCTGGTCCTTCTGCTTTCCCACACTTGACTTGTCTGATGGCCATCTTGATTTATTCGATTGTTGGTGTGGTGACATCTAAAGGAATGTGTGTGTGCTGCTTCGATGTCCAGTGGGTTCAGTGTGGCTGGTCTATTCAAGAGTTCTTCACAATGCTATACCCACTTGTTCGACCGTTCTTTAATCTCAGTGATTGGCTTGCTTTATCTGTCTTTGACTGGTCGCTGTCGTTTACTATATTTCCCTGCTAGTTTTTTTGTTGAGTCATATAGTTGTCTTATATTTTCTTCTCTTATAGATTTTCCGCAGCAACTGCTAGGTCTTCTAATGATCCTGTTCATTCACCTGTTCGCGTCTGACTATTTGATCTGTTCCCTGGCTTTATATGGTAATTAGAATTATTCGAGCCGACGTACTAACTAAGAATTCACGAAACAATGTCATTTAGGGCTTGTAGAACAAGACGAGAACAAATAAACGGATTATATTTGGGATTCGCGATAATGGTGAACGGGACACACAATGTCGAAATCATGAAACTGAACCATAGGCCAAACTGTAACTTGGAATCCTCAATAGGAAAAGAAAATAGATAGACTAAATAACAAATGGAGCTTTGAATCAGAGGCAGACATCAATATCACCAATAGTAGTTGGTAGTGTCCTGAACATATTTGATTGGAGATCCGTCATCAGTTGGCTTTGATCATGTAAGTAAATAGGTCCTTTATTTGTTACCCGATCATAAATGAACAGAAAAAAATTCCCGGAATAGATAACACATCGAGAACGGTTTTTTCTCCGAGTTATTCATTTACATGGTAATGTTCAAAGTTCAGGCAATCTTTTGATTGTATTCAATTCATCAACAAACGTGTAGTGAGCATCCAGTCATGTCATTCAATCCACCTGGAGCCTTTCCGGGGCTACTGCCAGTCCTAAGCCCAGATAAAGAAGGAGGGTTGGGTGACCCCATTCCGTAGAAAACTATCTCACTAAAAACGTGCTAACCAGAAAGAACCCCATTAATTCATCCTATTTCATTACAGGACTTGAAACTTTATATTCGGAAATTTGTAAAGATTTTGCCTAAATTAGATATCGCCACAATCGATAAAATATTTTAGAATATCAGTACTGACTAATCAAACAAACTACTTGAATAAACCCTTCAACCAGTTTTCTCGATCTTCGTTAACTTATTTGTGTGTTTGGACAGGGATATAAGTTATCCGACACACAGTATAATTATACTTAAACATTACTAGAACAAAACATTATGAAAGTTGCTCAAAATTCCTAATTATTTCAGTTTCGAACAGTTATTAACTTGTAAACTGTTGACACATATTTTCAAATGAATTGAAACTGATGGCTTTATGAACTTACCTCAAATATCTCTGCGGTAGCGTTCGAGGAATTTCTATATGAACTAATGTTCTGTATGCGAGATGATTTATTATCTGTCGATATGGAGTTGACCGTTTTTGACTTCAGATCACGTCTAAGAACACCCAATTGTAAAAGACAGTTGCAAAGTTGACATACAACTGAAATTAAGCCATGACTCCAAGGACATCCAGATTTAATGATATGTCGGCAAAACCATTGAACCAAAGTTGTACCTTTATAAATTTAGACAGAATTCCCATAATGTTTACGTATAATGTTTACGTGAAATTTACGCTATTATATAGACTTCGATCATATATGCTATGTGATATAGATGAATGTGTTCATGTATTGAAATATTTTTACAACAAAGCCCTATGTATGGGCTTTGATTTCCTTCTTTATCTAGATAGTTGAACGACCTCTAGGAACATGGTAAAAACTGAGTATAACATGCTCCAACTATTAAAACAACATGATTGATTTGATGAATAAAAAACACTATCTAAACCATTAATTTGTTCATGGAATAAGGCCCAGTGGAACAGATTCCAAAGAACAAGAGAATCAGAAAGTTACTGAATACATGAATATATGGTAAGAATCTGTCGTAAATATGTAAAACACTCAACCTAAATGGTTTGACCGACTTTTTTTACCACTTTACTAATGACTCGATAAGCGTGATGATGAAGGTTTCAGACCTTTCATAAATAAGCATTGTAATACAACCAGAGCAATATGTTTTAAAAATTCCAAGCAGTTTGATGAATTTTATTGTAATAAATTTACGTGATTGTCAGTAAGGGTCCCGAATCCGATTACTCAATGAGAGGTTATGGATGCGGGCTGTTGAGGAATCCAATACATAAAAGAAACTCCAGTCTAGTGTTTCCCGGTTTTCAATGGTGTTCTATCTTAAATAGCTTCATGATTTCAATGGAATTACTTAAGTACTTAACATTTTCTCATCAAAGTTTTATCAGTTGAAAGTTTATACGTCACAAACGAACTAATTAGTCGAATTTCTAATGGTAGTGTAGATATTTCGCTTGACAGATCGTCATTCAGCTTTATTTAAATTTAAACATTGCTAACAACCCTTTTCAACTCCATCTATAGTTAATCAAGACTTACTACCGCTCCCAAGCCTAGGTACGGCGATAGGGTTGGGCATGAGGTCAGCAACCTCATGGCGTACAAAAAATTGCTAAAAGAAGGTTAGCAAAATTATGCAAATTAAACCAATTAAACACTGTCATCATAAATAAGGGATACTCATTGGGAAGAATTATGGTACTTCATAGTGAAAGCAAAAATTCTCTAGAAGTCACGAGGCCGATGGCCATTCTAACAATCAGAGCAACAATTATTATAGATACATGAAATTTCAGAACAACATGAGAAACAGGGCGAACCAATCAAATGGCTGCGGAAATGAAAAGATACAAATAGGCGGTTCTCAGAATAATTGGAACCCATACGACCAAATCTGGACAGAAAAGATTGGACTCAAGAGAGATTCTGTCCTACTCTAGTCACGAAGAAGAATATGCTACACACACTCAGGCATTTGCACTGATGATGTCCGAAGAAGCACTCAAACCCTAAAATATATAACTCATTTATGACTAATGATTTAAATTAATTCTGTATAAAAAATATTATTGATATAAGTATTAGAATCTATGAGGTAAGTGATATTAGTGAAGCCCTAATCGAAGGTAGTTCGTACGTGATAAACAAACGTTTAATACTACAACGAAGGAATTAAGTAATACTGGTGTAGATATTTTTTCATTAAACGTTAATTCATGGCATGTAATGTGCATGATGCCATTGAGTCACTGAGTTGAATTCCAGTTGTTCACACCTCTTAAAATAGAGTTAAATCTAGATTCAGAATGTTTCACTATTTATTACCAACCATCTTACAGAAAATAAATTACCTGAAAAACTGCTGGATAAACAGACTGGTTCATTTTGATTATGCACCACATTGTTTGCTGAAGTCGTTAATAGAGATTTCTTTAAAAATTCCTCCACAAATTTTTCACTCCATATCATTTTAGAAGTGTATTGGTCAGAAGATGGTTTATTAAAATGTGTTGGTGTTCCTGTTGAAGATATGGTCGCTGACGTTGATGACGTTACTGTTGTCGTTGAAGTAATTAAAGATAAAGCAAAGTGATTTATAGTAAAGGAGGTAGACAAAAGTAGTTCATCTTTTACAGATGTTTGTATATATAATTTTTTTACACAATGATCATTACAAATATCGTTTCCAAGTAAAGACAGTCCCTTAGTATCCATAATTATACTATCATCTAATGAAAACTGTTTTTTTAAAATGATTTTTCCGATAAATGTAATACTGTAGCTATTTGATTATTTTAATTGTTGAGATCATGACATAATTGAAGCTAGACCACCATGGATAACCCGGAAGCAACGGACCGTGGATGAGCACTGCTGAGGAGTCTCACAATAGGACGAAACGACCATCAAGTGCTTCCAGGTACTTTGGAGAATTTTAAAGCGAAATTAGACACACTACTATCACTATAAAACTAAAATCTTCCGTTCGAATATTAGAGCTGTTAATGTTGCATATGACTAACCTATTATGAGCTAGGATGAAATTCTTGTGTAATTCTATTTAATTATCAAAGATTATCTGGTTGATGGAGGCCCGAGATGAAAACTCTCTGCAGTTTTCATATCGTTATTAATTAGTTCACTGTTAAGGTCTTCAGATGGAATTTTCTACGGGTTTAAAATTCTTTGTAGTTAATGAGATAAAAATCATATGTGATGGAGAGACCTCAGATAATAAGGCTCATAATCACTTTCAGTGGTACAAATACATTTTTTCTTCAATATTCCAGTAATGTTTGAGTAATATTATAATTTTATAGTTTACCGTCATCCATTTTATTCATTTCTTAAGAATTTGGTGGTCCAGGAGAGTCCATCTATGTCATACTATACCTCAAATTCACACGATAAGTTAGAGATTCAGTTGTGGTCAGTTTATTGTGAGTAAGCGAACAGTTCAATGGAGCACGGTTACAACTTAGTCACCACTCAGCAATTCCTTCTTGTATTTAACCAGTAATTCATATATACACATGAGTTTTGAACATTATTAGTCAGCGATTGGTATAAAGATTCCTACCCATTCTTTGTGATATCACTCTATATGGCTTATTGGATTAGCGTATATTATCACTGAATTAGACCACGATATAATGGAACTGTAATTTCCAGGATTATATTTCTAATGAAGAGACAAATTTTCAAATGAAGAATAAGTACCGCTTCTAACTTTCTCTTGAAAGTTTACTCAATAAAATACAGCGAAAACTCTATATAGTTCATACAATTATTCATGTTCACTTTTCTTAACTTTCTGTCATTGACATTGCTCGGAACCATGACAAATTGAATGAATAAATATTTTTTCTTCTTCTTTAAATTATCAGAAGGGTTATTGTAGATATTATAGTAATTTCAGTAGTTGAAATCATGAGTCAATTGAAGCTAGACCATCATGGAAAATTTGGAAGCACTGAGTATCCACGATCCCGCCTCACTAGATTCAAAACCAGGACCTATTAGTCTCGCGCGTGAGCGCTTAACTTCTAGACCACTGAGCCAACAACCGACGGTGTTAATGTTTAACTTCAACTAATTCACAAAATTGAGTGACCCGGTTGAACTCCCCTTAGTCATTGCTTCTTATTAGTGACTGATAGGTCCTGGTTTCGAATCTCGCGAGACGGGATCGTGGGTGCGCGCTGCTGAGGAGTCCCACAATAGGAAAAAACAACCATCCAGTGTTTCCAGATTTTCCATGATTGTCTAGCTTCATTAAATTAGTTTATAATTGACTGACTGAATGTTTATAGTCCACTTATTCTTTCATTTGTATAATAAAATTTTGGATTTCATGCTGTGACACTTACAAATTTGTCGATAATAACGATAATAATAATAATAATAATAATCTAATAAATAGATAACATTCAACTATCTAACCATATTGAATGAATGATTGTTTATCATAATTTAGTTTAAAAACTATTTAGATTTATTTTGAATTGTATAAACAGTAGCAATTTTTGTATATTTACACATGAGAAATGAGAAAAGGAAGAAGAAGAAGAAGAAGAGGCAGCAGCAGCAGAAGAATAAGAAGATAAGATAAGATAAGATATTAATTTGTTTCTCTATTTTGTCAGCTTACACATTTCACGATTATTAGAAGAGATATGTGCACTGATATTATATATAAAAGAAATAATAGAATAACTACCAGCTATTCAAGTGAATATGCCTATTCAGGTTGACAAACAAAATAGAAAGAGTTGAATAATAGAAGGATATACATATTTCTATAAGTAAATGTTAAATTTTTTTTTAAAAACTAGTGTAGTACGAGAGATGAACTGAAAATTGTGATGATTAAATATTCCGATCAATAAAATCACGGAACCAAGAGGTAAGAGGCCTAGTGTCGAAACTTCCTGTTAGTTGAAGTTCGTCAACAAGGTGTATCTGTACATTTATGGGAACTGATGATGAATTTGGACACACGTTATCCAACTTCACAATCGATGACATAACTACTGAGCTATTCGTATTACACCTTAAATCCTGTAGGACAGAGATGTATCTATAATTGTTTGGCCATTGGCTAGTAACCAGTATTATATTAGTCTAGTCCTTTAGTTCTGATCGAACTTTGTCTATCTGGCTGCAAATGAATCTAACATGGAATACTATATATGGCATGACGGCCCGATGACGTAAACAAGTCCGTCTAAATTTTCTTTTGTACCAGATTAGAATTAATATTGCTCGGTGCCACAGTATGACATGTTCTTACTTAGTTACCGAAGCAATTTACTCCTCGTGAAGGGACATAGACAGCCAACCAGCCTTTATCCATCCAACTCATTCCTGGGCAATACTCTCCAGTGATTTTCCAGTTGCCATTCATCATTTTGATGTCTGCTTACAATTCCCGATACAGTGTGTTCTTTGGTCTTCCTCTTCTCCGTTTCCCTTCACGATTCCAAGTTAGCGCTTGCATTGTGATTCAGTTTCGTGATTTCCTTAATGTATGTTCTATCCACTTCTATTTCCTCTTAATTTGGAAGCTGGTTTGTGCTCTTCAACAGTAGATTGTTGCTGATGGCATGCAGTTTTCCTCGTATTACTGCTTGTCAGTCTCAATGCTTCAAATTACTTGTTCTGAGTATATCCTTCAAGTCTTGGATTCTGTTGTTGGGGGCCATCTTGAATTCGTTGGGCCTGTCAGTATCTCGAAAATGGGGCTGTACTGAACCTCTGTAATTCAGGTTCCCCAGTTGTCCAGTACTTTCTTGGATTGAGATTAGTTCTAACAACCTCCAGGTGTTAATCCAAAGCTACGTCAACAATTCCTCTCCTGGTTCTCACGTTTTCCAGTGACCTGAACATTTTGGTGATGCAAATATGGTATATGTCACTGTCTGTGTTGTGATCCGCTGAAAGACCCATGTAGCTTCGTGTGTACGTTTGTGTGGAAATATTTTGCCACCTATATTTATTTTGTTGAATGTACATAAATTTGCAATGTGTCACCATTCTCAGGAGCACTTCACTATGCTCGACTAGAGCCTCTCGTAAGACTGATTTTTTTCGTCTTAATTTTTATCGTTGGTGAGTGCATGACATTGGATAAAATTCATTGTGTTCCCTTCCTTTCATGCTTTCAATGATGCTTTGATGATTGTGGATCCATGAGACTCCTATCCTATGAGTGCTTTAAGTGCTTCTTTGGACAGCATTAATTCAACTATTTGAGTGCATGGAGCATGTTCTTCTTCATGACTAGAGTAGGACAGCATCTCTTTTGAGTTCAATCTTTTCTGTCTAGGTTTAGTCCAATGGATTTCACTTATTCCGAGAACCAACAATTTGCATTTTCTCATTTCTGAAGCCAATTTATTTGTCGTCTGCTTTAAATACCTATGAAATGGAATTTAACTTCTGCTTCGTGCTTCATAATATAATCTATTTAATTTTAGGTTTGTTAAAGAGATTATGTAGATACTTAGTCTGATCATGACTGTCGGAGAGAAGAAATTCTTAATTATATATCCTCAATATAGTTTTGTTACTTCAGTTATCTGCTTAAAGTTTGTTTGTTCCAGGTTCCTTATTGATGTCAATCGTTTCGCATTATCTCATACTTCGACGTTACATTTCAGTATAAACAATGTAAGCAATTGATGAGAAACCACCAAATATAATGAATTCATAATACTTTGCTTCAATTTCTGATATGGGTGCTACCTGTGGTTACGTGATAATTGTATTTCATTTAGTCTATAACACTGTGTTTAAGTTTCGATATGAACAATAATATTGTAATGATCCGATTTAGTATATCTTATATTGTATCACCAGTCACTTTTCAAAATATAGTTTAACTTATCGTTAACTTTGATTGTTTGTTTTTTAAAAATAATTTTATTATGTTGTACAGTGACACGCATTTGATCCATGGAATTTATCTATTTACGTTAGGGTGATCCAGAGAATTGCTTGCAAAAGACAAGCAAGCATCAGGAAATACTAAGAAGCGTTTCATCCAATCAGCGTTCACTTGAAGTCTTAGCCCAAGATATCAAGGAGGCGAAATGTCACAAGCAGAGGCTCTGGTTGGCTGGCTGCTACACTGCTACTATGTTTGGTAGCATTCCAGAATCTTCTAGCGACCCAAGGACATTTAAAATATAAAAACCCTGTATTTTCTGTATTAAAATGAACCTTGGAGTAAACTAATTCTCGCATACTTTGAGTCTTCTCTCTCGTGTTCAAGTGGCTGTATAGTTCTAGCTTGTGGGTTACAGAATAGCTTAGGAGAAGAATATAACGTTCAATCCGCAAGACTTATCAACTTACCAGCAAAAGACACCGCATACTTTTCAAGACTCGACCGAATGAATGGAAAGCAGTTCGTTAATTCCTTCATTTTGTTAATTTCGAAACGTTTATTCCTAAAATTCGTCTTAAAATTTTTCAATTATTTATAATACAAAATACCTCACTAATAGATTCTCTTTCCTCTATCTCTATAAGCCAACAGATTAGGTCACGTTTATTAAGATAATAATAATAATTTTTTACCCTATAGAACATGATTTTTGGAACCTTCACCACAGTAAAATTAGTTTCGAGAAAATAGTCTCGGAGATGTAGAAGTAGTTTTTTTTTCTAGACGTTTTTCTTTCAACTATTTATATTCAAAAAGTAAAGCTTAGCAGTTGATGCATGCCGACGTCAACTATTTTCTTTTTAATAGTTGAATTTATGAGTTAATTGAAGCTAGACCATCATAGAAAACCTGGAAGCACTGATCTGCTGTTTCGTGCTACTGCGCATCCATGATTCCGTCTTGCGTGATTCAAATCCAGGACCTATCAGTCTCGCGCGCGAACGCTTAACCTCTAGACAACTAAGCTGAACGGTATCCAACGGTGTTAATGCCTAACTTCAACTAATTTCCTGTTTAATTGTTCAAATAACTAACTTACATAATTGTTTGTTTCTTTTTTTAATCGTTTTTATAAGTGTATTTTTCATATATGCAGTCTGTCCAATACATATGTGAACTGATTTATAAGGATTATCATTTATAGGCATGAAAAAAAAACAAACGAACAATTGGATTGTACTTAAATACCTGTCTTTTAGAGTAGATTTGAACTTAGTGGTCTATCTTTATCCAGGTGTTAATCGTGCAATGATAATAAGTAGACGATAAAACGTAAAGCAATGAGGCAATTGAAAGTTAGACTACCGATATTATCCGAAGACGTTTACAGCAATGAAAATAAAGATTAGGAAAGTTTGTTGTCCTTAATAAGAAAGATTTTAAGGAGGATTATATTGATGTACACAAAATATTGCCAAAAAACTTCTTATGACCCACTTATTGTGCAAACTGTATATTCTGAACAAAATCGTAGAATTGATTGCATTGCCATTAGGACTTTACGAAATGATTTTAAGTAGACTGACAATTGGACGATCTGTTTATAATGATGGTATATTTATGGATTTATAATATCTTAATGAGTAGAAAACTAAACTCCTGGTGTTTCGTAACCTAGCGTAAATTACTTCTTCAGAGAATAAATAATCTTGTCTGACTGATACAAGTTTGGGGGGGGCATGAAGAAAATTCTTTTATTTTTTTATTTATACTAAATAGACTTTTATAAATTCGGAGAGACTCGAATTTATGGACGAGCCAATCACAGGCGTTTTAGAGATTTCAAGGTTACGGTGCCAACTTCAGTGCTTAATGATAACGTACTATCGGTTCACAGGGAATTTTGTGCGAAACGTGATAATTGAGCGGCTTTAACGAATAAAACGGCGAGACTATTATTTGTGGACGGATCAATCAGGTAAAAGATAATAGATCTCGGATTTTAATGAGAAAGACTTTCATCCATTTGGCTAAATAAATTTCTGTCATTATAACTGATGTCAGATCGTGATGAAAACCTCATATATAATTCCTAACTAAGGCAAATTGCGACAATTATTGCGAACTGGATAATAAAATCACCAGTAACATTGGCTCCAGCCAGGTACTACAATATATACGGATTTTCGGAGAGTGTACAGACTCCTACATAGGCTTGGTTATGTGCATCATGTCGTTATCCACAAGTAGCATTTTGTGCACTCAACAACCGGAGTGCACACAAACAATACTGAACCTATGTGGTCGAGGTTGGAAGAGTTTTTGAGACTTTATCATAGCTCCAGAGGCCGACTATTCTGTAGCCATATGGATGATTTCCTCTACTGCATGCATTACAATTTTAGAACCTCTGAACCTCTTTCTATCCTTGAAAAGTTTTTGAATCACGTATAAGAAATGTGTTCACTTTATTTCTTTGGTTTTGTATAATATATTTTTACTCCATACTGACTGTCTGCTGATTGGCTAATCTTTCTCAAGGTCACTTAAGATTCGTTCAAAGGTCGTCCATAAATTAGAGTCTCGCCATAAATCCTACTTGGTTACCTATTTTTTTTACAAAGGAACTTATACTAGGTCGCAAAGTGTCAGAAATTTAGTTTCATACTCAATCGGGATATTGTTAAGGTCTTTGCATTATTAATTTGGTTCTTATTAATAAACATCACTTGGTTACTTGATAAATCAATCAACTACCTGTTGTAACGTGTAATTACCAGACGGTTTTCCTATTCTATACCAAAAAAATCTAGTTGCTCTTATTTAGCACAGCTTATTCTGATTACAATATTAAAGCTGTACACAACAGATCTGTTGATTATTCTAAAATGAATCCAATTATGAATTAACGAATATTGAATGAACAAATGCTTCAAAGTTTTTTGGATGTGTAGTGACCTACCTTTACCAAGAGAACGCGATTAATTTAATAGAAACAATCATTAATATTACCAATTGTACCATTGATTGTTTTACTGTGCTCTTTTTTTTAACTGTGCTATAGACAGCCATATTACTGCTCCCTTATCCTTCGATTGATTGTGACCTTGCACGGGTTCGATCACGCTCGGTAACCACGCTTGTACTCCTTTGGCACGATCTCGGTATCCTTTCGATACCACGAGATCACCAACAAATACATCTCGACTACAGCCATCAACTGCTTTCTGATTTTTGGCTTACGGGGGATTTTATCGGTTAACTGGCACGTAGTCTTCTTGTAGTGGTGTTCATAGTCCATAACGACTCGACTCCATACTACAGATGAATAAACTGAAAAGTTTTATTTTTTCTGCTAAATATAGCATATTTAGCATTCATTGTCTACTGAGTATATTTCTAAGGTTTTCATACAGTCATATTATTTACAATCATTTAGACAATAAAATGACTATCAGAAAGACTGTACATATTCAAGACTTTCATCAGAAAAAGATGTTAACAATTGTCCCAGTTTCCCATCATCTGTACAGCTTTTACGGGCCTAAATAAAACATCTGATTGGCTTAAAAAGAAACACAACTGTTATCTTCAATATATTATCCTTAGAAATATCCCTCAACATTTATTGAAATTCACTTGAATTTGATGTAGCTTATCCCGTTTATGTATTTATTGAACAGATCATCCACATAATGGCTTAATGAATCTATGAAAGACGATCTCTATGACACTATCATGAGAAGACGCTGAAATATTTACATTGTGGTGTGTGCTACTTATATTGATATAAGTAGTATATGACGCGAGTTAAAGAACGTATTGTCTGGCAGCAGAAGATGGGGAAAGATCAACAAAGGAAGAGGAGGAACACAATGCAATTTGTAAGAAAATGTATGAACCATGAAATGTGAGACAATGGATTGATGATTGCAACAGCAACAGTCCGGTTTGATATGATGGAATGATATTTTGCAAATTAACCATTTACTATTTGGTTTTTCTATTTCATCAAGTAACTCTGTAATTCGTGTTCTAAGCACGTTAGATTTTCCTCACACGTATTCCGTTCACTACAACACCCTTACCAATTAAAAATAGTGGTTTGTTGATGAAGCATAACTTATTTAACATTAGAGTAATTGTTTTGGAAATTATTGAATCAAAATACCATTAAAATCCTTGAAGTTAATTTTGTAATAGAGGCTTTCTATGCTTTTGATTTTCAACCCAATGACCCTAAAATGAAAGTGCTTGATATGTAAACCATTTTAGGGATTATTGAAATGAAGCTTTATACACATATGTCTCTACTATTTGGATTGTCGTGCCATTGGGAACACTTAGAGTTATTATACTAGATCTGAGCTCACAACACTCCAGTACTTTAGAGCCGAAGTAATCTGAACGAACGTTTTTCAAGATCAGAGAATTTTTCAAGTTGAGTTTTCAAACAGTAACTGACTTAACCACAGTAAATTTACATTATAATTGTTCATTTGATAGTAAATAATCTCATGTTGCTAATTTCTCGGTGTTAAATAAATTATAGAAGTAAAACATAACATTGTACACTCTATTATTTAAATAAATATTGACGTGCTGTTGAACCTGTTGTTTGTAAGTGAACGACGTTTTCCAAAAGTCCCATGAAGAAAACGAGATAGGATATGTGTTCGCGACTTAGAAACGCATCTGTTTTTTTTGTGTGTTTAATATGGATGTAGTATCAAGCATTTTTCGGGCGTTAGGCCATTTAGACACTGATAATTAAACTTTGCCATGTTATTACGTATGGACTACCTGGTTGGGGTCCGCGTGCTAATCATAATCAATGGTTGGGGAGTTTGAACGATCGTTCGCAATGGCACATGTGCATCCATTCTTTCTATTCCCACAAATTCTGAGATTCTGAATTTCTTATACTTTTTTTTTTCTCTAATTTATATTTTCTTGAACCGTATCTTCAATGTTTAATCACCCCTATTATCATTGATACTGTTATTACCTCTACTATTCTTAGATTTGACCTGTGCTAACAGGTTATTGCAACTTAAATCGGTGTACATACGTTGTCACTGACTGACCAACTTTCATTTCATTTAGTTTTCTTATCCACCAGTTTGGAATGGGCCATAATGGTATATCAATAGGAGGCATATGTATATAACACTAGATAACTGAAATGAAGTAGTGATTTATGGTTCTGTATTAACTCACTAAATGAACGGAAAAGTGTTCAAACCGCTAGGCATTGTACTTTTTTTTTTGGTGAACATTAGAAAAAAAAGAATGGTCAACTGGATACATCAAAGATTATTAGCATTATAGTTAATAGTTTTTTTTAAAAACTTCTGTTTACTTACCTACCTAATGATGGTTTTAATTCATTTTGATCAGATGTAAAATTTTGTTGCCAAAATGGTCGCCCAAAATTATATCCACGTTGTGAAAATATTGAACGAAATGTAGACGAAGTATTATTATTATTATTATTCCATGTATGAGGTGGTAAACTTACACTGTGACTGTTTGGAACATTATTATTATTATTATCACCATTATCGCGGATAGGATGTTCACTTTGAGCTCGTTGAAATAATCGTTGTTGATGTAATTTTTGAATTAAACCATTATTATTCATAACCGTATCATTTAATGGATTATATTGTATAGGTAAATGTTTCTTTTGTTGTCTAGTTGATTGTATTAATTCATCAATTGATATATTACTATTCAATTTCTCATTTATATTTTTAGTTACACTAATTGTATTGGATCGTTTTAATTGTTGTTTATTTGAGAAATTTGATTTCGTTCGTGTTAGAATTGATGGATTTAGAATTTCTTCTTTATTCATTGGTTGTTTTATTGTTGAATGGTTCATGAATGTAGAAAAATTCCTTGAATGTTGATTATTAAACTTTTGTTCAATTGAAGTGTTATGATTATTATAAATTGTTGATTGTAATGGTATGGTACTAATATCAGAAGGATGTAAAGATAAAAATTCATTCAGTGTAAGACCTTCTGAACGTGGTAGAAACATATTCTGTTTATTATTCAATCAATAATTCTTTTTCATTTACTGATGAAAACTTGTTTTGAAAAGAGAACAAAGGACGAAACAAAAAAGGAATTTGATGAGTTAAAACTTGAATTTAAAAAAGAAAAAAAACGATAAAAAAAATATAAATATCTGAAATATCAAGTTAAATATCTATTTCTTAAGTTACTTCAGTTGGAATATAACAAACAATATGAACTTCTTAACAGAAGGGGTTTTGTGGAGATTTTAGTAATTTCAATAGTTGAATTCATGAGTCAGTTGAAACTACACTATCATGGAAAACCTGGAAGCACTGAATGGCTGTTTTGTCCTACTGTAGGACTCCTCAACATTGTGTATCCACGATTAGAGCCCACGACCTATCGGTCTCACACGCGAGCGCTTAACCATTATACCACTGAGCCTGCCGGCCTCCAACGGTGTTGATGTCTAACTTCAACTTATCCATGAAATTGAGCGACACATCCACCATAGTCTTCAGTGAGTTGATATCTCACAACAGACCTTGTTGAACTTCACTGGTAACGGCTTCTACCTAGAACTCCAGGAAATACCTCTTAAAGTCAGTCACCAGGATGCCGGCTCAATGGTTTAATGGTTAAGCGCTCGCGCGAGAGACTGATAGGTCCTGGGTTCGAATCTCACGGGGAGCGGGATTGTGTGTGCGCACTGCTGTGGAGTCCCACAATAAGACGAGATGGCCATCCAGTGCTTCCAGATTTTCCATGGTGGTCTAACTTCAATTGACTCATGATTTCAACTCTTGAAATATAAAATGGTTATTAATCTGTGATCAATTAGTGAGGATATCTCAGTCCTAAAGGAATTCAATCATCGTCTAACTTACTCGTTGTCAATGTCTATGACTATGTGACAAAGTAATGTAATTTTAATGCATCTGGAATCATCATTACACTTATGATTGGAGACTCCCAAAAATTAGTAATTTTGGAAAAGATAAAAATTAAATTACAGCACCTCTTTTACATTTAAGTTGGTTTATGTTCAGTTCCGTCAAGCCCCTTAAATTAACTTATTTAAAAGACGAAGTCATTCAAACAGTAACAATTTGTATCTCTTGGTATTATTAATAAGTCTGTATGAAAATGTATGCTTAATCACATGTGACAGCCTACGCACATATCCATCTTTCCAGCTTAAACGTCAATTGGTTAGATCGCTTGGATAAACAATTCACTTTCCTATACATATATACAATTTTGAAACATATCTATTGATTTGACTCTCTATTCAGTTCATTATTCGACACTCAATTCACCTTTGTATTCGTTCGGTCACATTAGCATTTCATCACTAATTCGACTGGTTCGCTTTTGGCTAAGTGATCTGTATTATTCAACAAGAAACTGTCGTCGGTTTTTAGTGTTGCCTACTGAATTCATATGCCGTTGGGTTTTATTTAATAAGAGCTATCAGGACGAATAATGTATGAAACTTAAGGAATTATCTCGAAGCTAATCCAGTACCAGATTAAGTATGTTCTGTCGTCAAGCCTAGTTCTGGAAATTCCATCAAAATGCATTTTAATTTGAATTATGTTTAGTTAAATTTATATCCGAAAACAATGAGAATTTAAACTGATGATGCAATATCAATATGACGTTGGTAAGATGAAATCGTTGTATTTAACTTATTTGGATCTTTGCAATTGACTTCAATACGTATACTTTGTAATTTAGTATTATTTCAGCCATACTTTTTTAATAGACATCAAATTCTTAAACAAACTAATCTGATGTGACTGTATCAAAATCAGTACTGTGGTGTGGTAGGTCTCTTACGACGATTTTCCTCGTTAGATAGTGAATAATAACTTCATTATAGAATTAACTAGTAGACTAACGAAATACAAAATCATTTCGATAAATTCAATGATGATCATTCACTTACAAACTTTTGTGAGAAAAGTACGCCTTATTTATTAGAGGATGATTACAAACAAAAGAGTAGCGACAAAAAAACTAATACAAATGAATCAAACTTCACTTGATTGCATAAGCTAGTGGCTATCTAGAGTAAGTGAATAAGTGGATAACACGATGGCGTTTGAAGTGAAAGGTACTAGATTCAAGTCTTAGAATGAACATCAACTCTCAGATAGGACGAAACGTACGTCTTAGATTCCATTGCTAGCCACCATTCATCTCTGGTTCTAGTATCTAAGTTAAAGATTTTATTTTTAACAGTAAATGTACAATAAAGGAACAGCTTTGAGGTTAGATGAATAATACTAAACATAAAAGTTTCAAATACTGACAAACTACTTTCATGTCTTCATTTAATAAGAGAAAAATGTTTTATACATAAGATTAAGCGTACTAGTAAGATATGCTAAACTGTTCTGGATGGTTATTATGTGAACAAACCCACTTCTTGACTTTTACACACTTTTATTATGTATTGAAACAGATCACATATATATATGTATATACATGAAAAAGTACTTTGTTTAGTCTATCATCTTGCTTTGTTTAGCTTTTTACTGATACGATAAAATTGTTTTTGTTTAGACCAAATGAAAAGTATCATTTATATTTCTATGCAAGTAAAACTGTTCATCTATATTCATGTTATAATCATATCTGATGTTGATGAATTAGAGAAATAATTTCATAATATAATTGATTGATGTCATGTAATTGTCATAGTAACTCATTAAGAACACATTGCTCATTTCAACAGTCTATGACTTCATGAACTGATTCCACCCCTTGAATAAACATCCTTTGGCTTTGTTCCAGGATATGTTCGTACTTTTGTTTTCAGATGGACATCCTACCCAAGCAACAAGTGATGAAATCTGGTAAAAGTCAATCTAGCATTTTGAATTCTTGCAAAATCTTCGTTAGACTCCAACCCATCAGAGCTGACGAGACTTCAAAGATAATTGAAGTGGTCGATGTGCTTAACTACTTTATTCTATATCGCTAGTTCTAGTGTTGACGCAGATCAGACCTGAAGCAATATTTCGCATTTAAAAGGAAAGAGATGAGTTTCAAACGTGCTTCATTGTTACCAAGGCTGTTGAAAGACTGAATTTTGTTAGCATCTTTACCAAACAGGGTTATATCATTTTCAAATTTCAAGTCAGCAAATGAATCGCCGGGTAGAAAATAGATTTCTTGAAAAATGAGGCCATGAGAGAGTTGTGTTTCAAAGAATGTCTGTGACACAGTCAAGTAAAAATAGGGAAAATAGTAAGCTCTGTCAAGCACCACTTGGAACTAATAATTCTGGAAACAGTTCGTGATAAGCTTTTGCTTTAACAGTAGTGTTCGAGTAGAGTGCCTGTATATGTTTAATGCTCTTTGATACTTCTTTTAACGACAGACATTCATAAACCTGTTGATGTGCGGAATCGATCACTACATTAAGGTCGGGAAATCTAATTATGTTTGGGAGCCAGTAAGTATACCTGTCCCGCGAAACCTGATGGATGGTGAATATTCAGTTTATACATTTAAGCCGAGGTTAGAAACCGGACTAGTTCTCCAGAGTTTGTTTTTCGTGAGCCCTAATTAAGCGTTGAATGATTATTAGGACTTATATTTCAGATAACATATTGGCCAAACAGATTCCTCTGTGGTTATTATGGGAGAGTTTTTGTTCTTTCTTTGTGACTGGAATGATCAACTATGAAGACCATTTAGACGGGATTACGTCCAGTCAATAAACTCCAGCTAATATTTAATTGACTCTAACAGCTAATCCTACACCACCGTTCATACAGATCTCTTAGGTCAATTCATCAAAACTTACCGCTCACCCTCGCCTTAGATTAAATAGGGTTTTTTCCACTTTATTAAGATTCGGACGGCTTACGTTGACATGCTGTTCAGGTTCCTTGATAAATGTAGGCAACCAAAATCTATCTGAGGAGCAGTTAATCTGCCATGCCCAGTTTTTCAGCCTCTTTGGCGAGAGTGGGTTATGGTTTCATCTTTTTCAAGAATAGTCTCATCAATTTCAGAATTTTAAATATCTATTTCCATGACAAGTCTGAAACGTTGTCTACTATTGCCTACCAGTGTTGCCTCTTTTTATCACTTTTGCGTCATATGCCCACCACTATTCATGATTTTTACATAGACCTTATATCAGTCTATGTCTAAATTGCTTCTAATCTTCATCGTCATCCAAAAGTAGTGGGAAGAAATTCCGAGTATATATCATTTCAGCAGATACTACTGAATTTCACTAATTTTTTCAAAACTTTTAATTGTAGTTACCCACAGATATCACTGCTATTTACAATGTTTTGATGTTCACAGGTTTTATGACAAATCACATTAGAGTGAACACAACTTTGATGACTGACTAACTGCTTGTGTGTTCGTTTCCGAAACTATTTGTCTGTTAACTTGAACCCTATGGCTCTTCTTAATGTGGCTTTTCTGCATTTTTAAGACGTAAGTAAACATATGCTCATTCTAATGAACGATCAAATTATAGACTTGTACCGTAAAGTGAACGACAGTCTTCTTTCAAGCCTCTTCAACTATGGCTGATAGCGACGTACATCTTTGGGTTGTTTGTGAGGGTCGCCATGTCAGACGATATCTCGCCTTATGCATAAAGTTGGTGTGAGCCAAGAATAAACGGTGGTTTGAGCACAGTAGCAACAGATGATCCCTGTTCAAATAGACTCCAGAGTCAAGGTTTAACTACTTAAGGTCGGTCACACAAGATTATTTTGTGAGAAATTCTTAATGTGTTAGCTCTGTGTTTCAAAAATCGTCCCTTTCGGAGACAAAGATCCTTGGGATATATATATATATATTCCCGATCACTCCTTTACATTACGAGAAATCTGCATCACTCAAATGCTGGTTGCCTAGTCAAAACACCTTATTGACATCACGCCTAAGTACGCAGTCCGTCTACTTTAGCCTTATCGTTACCGAACTAATCTGACTTGAGGAAAGATCACTCGATTAAGTCATTATGGTAGGCGAGCTCAACCACCAAGTTAAGATAGTATCTACGGTCAAATCAGTTATTCAGAAA